GCCCGGGGCGCCCCCGGCCGGTGTCTCCAGCCCTGGCCAGCCCCGGAGGGGTGATAACGCCCAGGGAGGCTGGAGGGGCCAGGCGCATCAGGCTGACAGCTCGGCGGGAAAGCTGTGGGCTGAATTTCCTGGGCGCTAGATCCAGTTTGACCCTGCGCAGACAGGCCGGCGGCAGGCTCTGTGCTCAGCCACGGGTGAGTTCGCACAGGAGAGCGCTGGCGGGCGGGTGCGCAGCCCCAGCTGATAGACCGCGGAGAGACCCCGCCCCCGCCGGGGAGGAGCCCGAGAGACCCCGCCCCCGCCGGGGAGCAGCCCCTAGCAGAGCCACCGACGCCAAGGGGATGGGCACAACCCCCCCCACCAGCCAGGAACTGACTGTACTGGCCTGGGCCGAGCCCGGTCCATGGTCCTGCCCCCTTTGGGGTATCCAGCGCCCCAGGGGAGCAGGGCCTTGGCAGCCCCTGATTCCCACAAGCAGAGAGGCCTGGACTCTACTGGCCATGGGACAGGCTGACAAGGAGAGGAGGGGTCCTAGCGCCCTTCCTCCCCTCAGGGCTCCCAGCCTACTCTGGCCCTATGGAGCCCAGCCCAGCCCTGGGGGGTTATCTCCACCCCCCGCCCCCGCCTTTGCTCCAGAGCGGCGCAGTGCTGAGGGGAAGGGCAGCGCTGGCAAAGCGGAGGGAGAAGACCTCCCGGCTCAGTGCCCTGCTTGGGCCCACGGCGCCCCAACGGCGCGGCGTGCCTTGTCCTGCGTGGCTGGAGAGACACGCGTTGCTGTCCCCCGAGGCACAGCGGGGCAGGGAAGAGATGTTTGGGGGTGGGGGGCCGAGCCCGTCCCAGCAGGGCCCCCAGTGACTGTCGCCTCTGACGGAACTCAGCTCTGGATGGCGTGGGGGATGGAAAACTTACGTGGCCGGCGTTGGGGCCGGGTTTGATAACCAGCGCGTGCGCGAACTGCCCCTCGCTAACCAGCCCTTCCCTGGGCTCTCGCAGCTCCTGGTTATGTACAGAGGGAGAGGAGCTTTTCAGTCACCGGCGCCAAGAGCAATTCTCCAACGGGCCCTTCGCGAGGGCCAGCGGTGAACGAACCCGCGGGGCCACCACACGCCCACCCTAGCCAACGCCCCTGGACCATTGATCCCGGGCCTGAGAACTAGGCACGGTCCCTTATTGGGATGCAGTGTGAGGGAAGGGGGTGATGGACAAGGCTTTGCACGGACGCAGCAGGCTCCATCCCCTGCTTCCATGGCCTTTTACAGCAAACTTGGATTGACCCTCCCAGGACCCCGCAATATGGAATCGCCCCTCAGAATCACATTCTTCTGTGGCACAGGGAGCCTGACAGGTCCCCGTCACCGACCCAGCCTTCGGGGGAGGTGTGACCTAGTGGGGATACCTTGCTGGTTGCTATGCTGGGCAGTGGGTTGTGGGTGACCCCCAGCACGGCCCAGCAGGGCAGGGGATGAGTCATTATGCAAGGGGGCTTCAAACCTGTCTGACCAGTTATCTTCCAGGGAGCGGAACAATGGGAAGAAGGGGAGTGGAGCCCTGGCTGGGGGCAGGGCTGGAAGTGAGGGAGTTAGGTTTCTGGCTGGGATCATGGAGGAAGCAGCGTAGGCAACGGGCTGGGATTTAGGGGCCCAGGCTCCCCCATCTCAAGGGGGGCTGAGGCATCCTAGGCCTGCCCTGTAACCAGATTCCATCTG